GGGGCGTGTGGCTGTGGTGTCGGGCGTTTGGCTGTGGTGTCGGGCGTGTGGCTGTGGTGTCCAGTGTGTGGACATGTGTCAGGCGTGTGGCTGTGGTGTCGGGCGTGTGGCTGTGGTGTCGGGCGTGTGCATGCGGGTGTGCTCCCACCTTGGCCTTGCGTAGCACGTGTCCTCTGCAGGGAGGGTTGCTGCTGGTGGGCTGGCGTGTCCTCAGCGCTGCGGCGCTGTTCACCGGCACGGAACCCTCGGTGTCACTCGTGTCACAGCTGGAGATGGGCGAGTTCTCCAGCGTCCGGTGCCGGAGCACGGGAGACTGTGGACAGAGAGCGAGTCTGTGTGAGGCATGGCTCCCAGGCCACTGACATTTTCGAGGCGGGAAAGTGGTTCGTTTGCAAGAAGACGTGGGTTTTGGAAGAAGGCACAGACGACACAATGACAACAGCAGCTAGCAGGTGTCCTGCCTAAGCCTCAGAGCCCCTCAGAGCTCACTGCACAGATGGGGCAACGGGAGCACGGAGCCCGGGCTGTGGTGAGCTGCTGGGCATGGCCCCAGGGGGCGACGGGAGGTTCAGTTCATGCGTGTGCACCGAGCAAGCCCTTCCGGCCATGTCCCACAGCTGCCCGTCGCCCGCCTGTGCCTGGCTCCCTCCATCTCAAAGAGCTTTTTCCTGGTCAGCTGTCCCAGCAACACCCAGGCAGCACAGCCCCAGGGAAATGATCCATGAAAGCTCAGAGCATCAGCTCGAGGGAGAGGGTGCCCATGGACCCAGGACCCTGCTGCCAGCCTTGACCTACGTCCTTGCTTTACTTGGAAACATGTTCAAAATGCAATGTCAGTGGAGGTTGGGGGTGGGACATAGTGGCTAGCAAAGGGCCAGACTAAGAACAACGGTTATTAACCTGTACCATTAGCCACCCTATGTCGGCACCCAACAGTGTCAGCTGCCTACCTATCCGCCTGTATCTATGTGCGCCGCTGCTGCCAGGTGCCGAGTTGGCTCCGACTCACAGTGACCCCTGCACAACAGGAGACCCTGCTCGGTCCTGCGCCAGCCTCCCACGCTTGAGCCCATCCCTGCAGCCCCTGGGCCTCCCCTTGTTCACTGAGCCTCTGCTTTACCAAGCAGGACGTCCTTCTCCAGGGACCGGTCCTTTCTATCTTGATATGGTCACCATCATCATCATCATCCACACCTGTGTCATCCAGACACGCACCTCGCTCACCACACCTCCATATGCACCTTCCACATTGACAGCAAATTCAACAGGCGTGCGTCACACTCATCGCCACAAAGGACTGCTCACGCCCGTCCTGACATGCAATGCTGTCAGTGATGGGATACATCCATACATCTACAGGCAAGACCAGCTGTGGCAGTGCAGTGCACGTGTCAACGTGGCTGGGCAGCTGGATGCCGTATTCCCCGTGATGAGACTGGTCATCAACTCCATGGTGGAATCTACTGGAGCAGCTGAGGGAATGCCTCAGGGATGTGGTCTGCTTCCCGTAGATAAGGAGAAGCCTTGGGGAATGGTCTCTAGCTTATGGCACACTTGGACCCTGTGTGTAGCTGAGTCATTGTTCAGCAGCTTGTCACGGTCTGCCGACCTTGGGACTTTCATGGACTTGAATTAATGACCTGTCATGTGATTTGGTAACATCAGGACTGTGCCTTTTCACTTGTCAACCTTGGGCTTGTCCGTCTCAGCAGCCAGCAGCTGTCTGAGTGAAGAAAGCCTGCAGCTTCAGTGGGCCGGGAGCAGGAGGCAGAGCTGGACCCCAAGGTTGAGGGGCTTTCATCCAGCCCCTAGAGCCTGGCACTTTGAACTTGGACTTAAAGCCTCCAAACTGTAAGAGAATAAACTCCTGTTTGTTCAAGATCCCATTGGTGATGTATCTTCTGTTGGAGCAGCACCAGGGAACCAGGACACCGGGTAGTACAACTATCCTTCAATTATCGCACCAACCAAAGCCAAAGACAAGGATATTGAAGATTTTGACCAACTTCTGCAGGCCAGACTTGATCAAATAAGAAACCAAGATGCACTGATAATCACCGTGGCCGGAATGTGCAAGATGGAAACAGAGGCGCACTGGTAGTTGGAAAACGTGGCCTTGGTGGTAGGAGCCATGCTGGAAGTCGCAGGAAGGAATCTGCAAAACCAATGACTTACTCCTTGGAAATACCTCTTTTCAAAATATAAACTGTGACTATACAAATGGATCTGGCCAGTTGGAGTACACAGGGACCAGATCAACTACCTCTGTGGAAAGAGGCGGTGGAAACACTCAGTATCTTCAGGCAAAACAAGGACAGGAGCTGCCTGCGGAACAGACCATCAACTGCTCATACGCAAGTTCAAGTTGAAGCAGAAGACAATTAAAACAAGTCCATGAGAGCCAAAATATGACCTTGAGTATATCCCACCTGAATTTAGAGACCATCTGAAGAATAGATTTGATGCAATGAACACCCAAGACCAAAGACCAGACAAGTTGAGGGATGACATCAAGAACATCATACATGAAGAAAGGAAACGGTCGTTAAAAAGACAAGAAAGGAGGAGAACAAAATGGATGTCAGAAGAGACCCTGGAACTTGCTCTCAAATGTAAAGTAGCTAAAGCCAATGGAAGAAATGGTGACGTAAAAGAGCTGAACTGAAGATTTCAAAGAGCAGCTCGAGCAGACAAAGCCAACTGTTATAATGAAATGTGCAAAGACCTGGAGTCTGAAAACCAAAAGGGAAGAACACACTTGGCATTTCTCAAGCTGAAAGAACTGAGGAAAAATTCAAGCCTCGAGTTGCAATATCGAAAGATTCTGTGGGCAAAACATTGACTGACGCAGGAAGCATCAAAAGAAGATGGAAGGAATACACAGTCACTGTGTGAAAAAGAATTGGTCGACATTCAACCATTTGAGGAGGTAGCATGTGATCAAGAACGAAGTCCAAGCTGCACTGAAGGCACTGGCAAGAAACAAGGCTCCAGGAACTGACGGAAAACCCACTGAGATGTTTCAACGAATGGACGCTGTGCTGGAGGGGCTCGTTTGTCTTTGCAAAGAAGTAAAGACAGCCATGGGGCCGACCTCCTGGAAGAGACGCATGTACGTGCCCGCTCCAAAGAAAGGGAATCCCACATAATGCGGAAATTATCAAACAATATCATTAATAACACATGCAAGCAAAATCTTGCTGAAGATAATTCAAGATCGGTTGTAGAAGTACATCCACAGGAAACTGCTGAAATGCAGGCTAGATTCAGAAGAGGAGGCGGAGTGAGGGACTTCACTGCTGATGTCAGATGGATGTTGGCTCAAAGCAGAGAATACCAGAAAGAGGTTTACTTGTGTCTTATGGACTATGCAAAAGCATTCTATTGTGTGGATCATAACAAATTATGGATAACATTAAGAAGATTGGGAATTCCAGAACACTGAATTATACTCATAAGGAACTTGTACATAGACCAGGAGGTTGTAGTTTGAACAGAACAAGGGGACACTGCATGGTAAAAATCAAGAAGGGAGTGCGTCAGGGTTGTATCCTTTCTCCACACTTATTCAATCTGTATGCTGAGCAAATAATCTGAGAAGCTGGACTATATGAAGATGAACGTGGTATCGGGATTGGAGGAAGACTCTTTAACAACCTGCGAAACACTGACGACAAAACCTTGCTTGCTGAAAGTGAAGAGGACTTAAATACTAACTGACAGAGATCCAAAGCTGCAGTCTTCAGTATGGATTGCATCTCAATATAAAGAAAAATCCTCACAACTGGACCAATGAGCAACATCATGATAAACAGGAAAGAATGAAGTTGTCATGGATTTCTTTTTATTTGGATCCACAATCAATGCCCATGGAAGTAGCAGTCAAGAAATCAAATGACATATTGCATTGGGTAAATCTGCTGCAAAAAGACATCTTTAAATTGTTAAAGAGCAAAGATGTCACTTTGAAGACTAAACTGTGTTTAAGCCAAGCCATGCTATTTTCAGGTGCCTCATACGCAGTGTGAAAGCAGGACAAGGAATAAGGAAGACCGAGAAGAACCGATGCGTCTGGGTTATGGTGCGGGGAAGGAATACTGCATACGCCGTGGAACACGGAGGAACGGGCAAATTTGTCTTCGAAGAAGTCCAGCCAGAATGCCCTAGAAGTAAGGATGGTGTGACTGTCTCAGTCCTTCCACATGTTACCAGAGGGACCATTCCCTGGAGAAGGATGTCATGTTTGGTACAGTGGAGGATCAGTGAACAAAGGGAAGGCCCTCAATGAGATGGAGGGACACAGTGGTTGTGATGATGGGTTCAAGTGTAGCAATGACTGTGAGATGGTGCAGGAGCAGACGGTGTTTCATCCCATTGTACAGGGTTGCTGTGAGGTGGAGACGACTCAACGGCACCTAACAACATCTACCTGGTCCCGCTCACCTCTCTGTGTGCATTTCTATCTGTGTCCAAGCCCATGGCTCCACCATGCAGACTGACCCATCTCCCTCACAATCTGGGTTGTAATCAACCATGTGACCTACGTCCATAGCAACTCTACCATCTACATGGACCCCACCCCCCTCATGATCTGGGCTGTAACCGTGTGACCTCGTCCACAGCAGCTCTATGATCTACATTGACCCCATCTCCCCATGATCTGGGCTGTAACCGTGTGACCTCTGTCCACAGCAGCTCTATGATCTAGAACAATCCCATCCCCCTCATGACCTGCATCTGTAAGAGCCGTACCATCCATGGAGCCCACGGGCCGCACCGACAAGTCAACCTTCAGCTGTAACCGTGTGACCTACGTCCGCATCAGTTCTACCACCTACACTGACCCCATCTCCGTCATCATCTGCATCTGTAAGAGCCGTACCATCCATGGAGCCCACGGGCCACACCGACAAGTCAATGTTCGGTTGTAACTGGAAGGTTGGCAGCTCAAACGCACCCACAGGTGCTGCAGAAGAGAGGCGTGGAGACCGCTCTGAGAACCAGCCTCTGAGAACCCTGTGGAGAGCAGCTCGACGCCCCATGTGGGTCGGCACAGGTCGGAGTCACCTCCACAGCAACTGGATTGCTCTGTTCTGGTTTACGTGCATCAATATGTATGTGCGTGTATATGTCAGTAGTCATATATGTGTGTGCATGTATACACACACGCACTTGGTGAATGACTGGGTGAACACATAGCATTCCCATGCACAACCCCTCGCAGGAGGCATCATCCTTTCACATATGTGTGTATATATGAATATGCATGTGTGTGTATATGTGTATATAGTTGTATACGTGTGTGTAGATATATGTGTATATGGCTGTCTATGTGTGTGTACATACATACGTATATAGTTGTATAGGTGCACGCGTGTATGTGTATATATTTGTGTATGTGCATGTATGCACATGTGTATATAGTTGTATAGGTGCTTGTATGTATGTGTATGTAGTTGTATATGCGTATGTACGTATATGTCTTTATAGCTGTGTATGTGTGTACATAGCTGTATGTATGTATATGTGTATACAGTTATATATGAGTATGTATATGTGTACATAGCTATATGTGTATATGTATATCGGTGTATGTGCGTGTATGTATGTGTGTATATAGCTGTATGTGTGTGTATGTATATGTGTCTACAGTTGTATATATGCTTACGTATACACATACACACACGTGTTGAATGAGTGACTGAACCTGTGAATGAGTGAACACAGAGCAGGTACATCCGTGACCCCTTGCAGCAGGCTGCACCATGATCCTATCTTCCAAACGGAGACATTCAGGCTGAGGGAAGCCAAGTTCCCCATCTGATCTCAGAACTGCTCCCCTGAACTCCGTTGACAGCCCTGAGAGGCAGAGGTGGCGTGTGGTTGCGGACGGGGCTCCCTCCCTGCTGTGTAAGTGAGCTCTCTCTCTGGCACAGGGACAGGTGAGGGGTCACCAAGGTGGATGACAGACTGTAGCATGAGGAGGAAGGGGAGTTCTCCTAGGCTGAGGGGAGGCTATCAGAGGACTGGGGAACACGGGCAGGAGAAGAGCAGTGACGTGGTGACTGGTCTACCTGTGATACAGGAGTAGCAGGTTACTGAGGCCAGCATCCACCCAGCGCCACGGGGGCACAGCGGGTCACTGAGGCCGGTGTCCACCCAGCGCCACGGGGGGGACAGCGGGTCACTGAGGCCAGCGTCCACCCAGAGCCACAGGGGGACAGCAGGTTACTGAGGCCAGCATCCACCCAGCACCACGGGGGCACAGCGAGTGGGTGACGCCGGCATCCACCCAGCGCCACAGGGGGTATAGTGGGTCACTGAGGCCAGCATCCAACCATTGCCACAGGGGGAGAGCAGGTTACCGAGGCCGGCGTCCACCCAGCGCCACAGGGGGACAGCGGTTTGGAGCAAAGGCCATGGGATGCTAGTGTTTGAGAGCCCCAGACCCTCACTGGGGCAGTGGATGTAATACACCTGACACACAGCTGGCGAGGCCTGAGGGGGCAATTCTGTGAGCGGGAGGCCTGTGCTCCTGGGACTGAGAGGCAAGCCGCGTACGGTGATAACCGTGCCTGACAATGATGTCCACCTGCTGTGCTGGGCCATGAGGACAGGCATGGCCACGCGCCTTAGCAGCCCAGCGCTGGGGGCCACTCAGCACACGGAGGCCTCGTGTGCGAACCACGTGGTGCCCCCACGCGCGTCAGAGCAGACTCCACGGGGCTTCCCGTGGCCGTGACCTCACGGACGCAGATGCTTCTCCTCCGCAGCGCCACCGTGTGGACCTGAACCTCTCACCACATGAGGCACCCAGGGCCCTTCTGAAAGGTCACGGTCATCGCAGACCTAACAGAGCACGGCCCCACCTCACATTCGTGAGTCGGAACTGAATCACGGGGGCGGGGGTTCCTGCTGGTTTGGATCAAACAACAGTCCCCATGTCGCCCGATGACACAAAGCATAGAAAACAGACTCCACTTCTCCACCACCTTAAAGATGCCGGGAAGAAAGGAGAGCCTCATTCCAGAGGGTGGGGACGGGTGACACAGGATGGGAAAGGGGTGACCTGAGGACGTGGACAGTGGTGATTTGAGGATGGGGACATGGGTGAGGTGAGAATGGGGACATGGTGATCTGAGCATGGGGACACGGGTGACGCGAGGACAGGGACACGGGTGAGGTGAGGACGGGGACACAGGTGAGGTGAGGACAGGGACATGGGTGACACGAGGACGGGGACACAGATGAAGCGAGGAAGGGGACATGGGTGAGGTGAGAATGGGGACATGGTGAGAATGGGGACATGGTGATCTGAGCATGGGGACACGGGTGACATAAGGACAGGGACATGGGTGACGTGAGGATGGGGACACGGGTGAGATGAGGATGGGGACACAGGTGATCTGAGCATGGGGACACGGGTGACACGAGGACGGGGACATGGGTGATACAAAGACATGGATACAGGAGACACAAGGATGGGGGATACAGGTGATCTGAGGACACGCGTGATGTGAGGACAGGGACACAGGTGATCTGGGGATGGGGACATGGGTGACATGAGGACAGGGATATGGGTGACTTGAGGACGGGGACACGGGTGAGGTGAGGATGGGGACATGGTGATCTGAGCATGGGGACACGGGTGACATGAGGACGGGGACACGGGTGACGCGAGGACGGGGACATGGGTGATGCAAAGACACAGATACAGGAGACACAAGGATGGGGGATACGGGTGATCTGAGGACACGCGTGATGTGAGGAGGGGGACACAGGTGATCTGGGGATGGGGACATGGGTGACGTGAGGACAGGAACACGGGTGAGGTGAGGACGGGGACACGGGTGAGGTGAGGATGGGGACACAGGTGAGGTGAGAATGGGGACACAGGTGATCTGCGCATGGGGACACGGGTGATGCGAGGACAGGGACATGGATGACGCAAGGACAGGGACACAGGTGACGCGAGGACGGGGACATGGGTAACCTGAGGTTGGGGACATGCATGATCTAAGGACAGGGACACAGGTGCTGTGAGGATGGGGACACGGGTGATCTGAAGCCACACCTGGGGCATCTGTTGAGTTCAGCTAAGGGACAGGGACTAGGGCAGCCTTGGAAGTGCCTCGGGCTGCTCCTGGGAGCACGGGCCACCCCGCCCGGGACCGCGGCACCACAGGTAGGGAGCGGGGGAAGCGTACCTGTGGACTGGAGGTCCCCGACTTGGGCTCGATGGCCAGCCCCAGGGTGACGCCTCCAGCCAGCGCCTTCCTCAGGTTCCCCCTGAGCTCGGTCAGCTCTAGCTCCAGGTTGACGCGCTCGGCCTCCTTCTGCTTACAGTCCTCCTCCAGCTTCTTCAGCTTGTCCTCCAGGGCAGCCTGCGTCTTCCCGCCTGCCAGCCCAAGACACGGCAGCCCAGCTGCTGGCGAGACGCCTGTGGTCCTGGGAGCCCCCCACCCCAACTGCAGTCTGGGCCCCCGAGCCGCGGCCCGTCTACAGAGCCCAGCTGCTCTCGAAGGGCCAAAGCCCCTCCGCGGCCCCCGCCCTTCACTGCAGCCGCAAGACTGTGGGCCCTGGATTCTCACAAACTGCTCTGGTCAACGGTCCCCTTGGAAAACAAGGGCTTTAAAGAACCCAATTCCCAGTGGGCGCTGGCCTGGCGAGTCCACGTCTCCATCCTGTCCTCTCACCAGGTACACCTCGAGGGCCCTGGCGGCCCACGGTGCGCCCTCCACTAGCAACCTGAAGGTCGGTGGTTTGAACCCTCCCAGTGGCACCATGGAAGGGAGACCTGGTAACCTGCTCCTGAAACGATGAACCAAGGGCTCCCCGTGGGGCAGTCCCGCTCCACCAGTCGGGGCGCCATGCGTCGGACTCGACGTGCAGCAGCGAGCTTTTCAGCTACGTCTAGTGGTGGCAGCTTTGCGTGCACCATCTCACGCACCCCTGTGGCCCTTACTTCATCTGAAGCTGGTTACAGCAACATCGGTGCCAGCGAACGGAGGAGGAAGCCACGTCGGCCGTCCACGCACGCGGCCTGGCTCGCGCTGGTGCCTGCGAGTCTCTTTTTCGAGGCCAGAAGCACCTCCCCCTCCCGTGGCGTCACTGGCAATGACGCGGGAGGGAGGCCCGCTTCTGTCCCTTGGAACACAACCCTCTGCACCTTCCCTGCCTTGAGTCTGATCCCGCTCAGCACCGCAGGCTCGCATCACCCCTGCCTGCTGTCGTGGGGCCTCCCTGACCTCCAGCCCACGCCTCCCCCGTTGTTTAAGTCCAAGGGTGCACCTTCATCATCACCGGCAGAGTCCGGAAGACACAGCCATTCCTGGGGGCCCACTGTCCACCCAGGGCCCAGCCCTGCCGCCCGCACCTTCCCACCCCTCCCTGCCGCTCCCAGGTGAGCATAACCCATCAGGGCCAAGGCGCCCATCTCCAGGGCAGGTCAGGGCCGAGGGCCAGCTGGCAGGAATGGCCGAGCCAGGCCCAGGGCACTGCTCTGGCTGCGGACAGAGTTTCCCAACCACTGTGCCTTGACTCTGAGCTCCCCTTGGTGGGGAGGTGCCCCACTTACCTGGCTCTTCCCTGACCCCTTCTAAGACCCAGGCCCCCTCTCGTCTGCCCAGTCCCTTCTCAAAGGGGCTTCCACCCATCGGGGCCCTCATCTCTGTGCCTCCGAAGGTCCTCCCTTCCTGGGCTGCCCTGCTCAGCAACCTGCTGCCTCATCTCACCTGGTGACCAGAAACTCTGGAGAGCCACGCGCAGGGGACGGGTCAGCACCCGCGGTCGGTCGGACGGCTCCCCCAGCCCCAGCCTCCCTCGGTGGCCTCCCCACTCGCCCCATCGCAGACCCCCTGGGCTGGCCAGCGACCCCATCAGAGCCCCAGCAGCACCCTGTGGAGTGGCCTCACCCAACCGACAACCCCCGAGAGCTGCAGCTCCTTGGGGCAGAGCAGAGGAAACCTAGCTGCAGACCTGAGCCGGCGCCCAGTGCCCAGGCCGCCGCCCGCCCACCTGCGTTGGCGTCGATGGCGGCCCGCAGGTCCTTCCTCTCCTTGCGGAGCTGGGCCAGCCTGTTGCGGAGGGCCTCCTTCCTCTTCAGCAGCTCCTCCTCTTTGGTCTGCAGACGCTTGGCGTCCGCCTCCACCCGGTTCTTGCCGTATTTGTACTGGTCAGCGTCTTTCACACGAGACAAAACAGAGACGGAAGAAACAGGTTTAACCGAGCAGGTGAGAGGGTTTTCCCTGCCGACTCAGACAAACCACCGCAACGCTAGTTATATTGTGAATTCAACAAAAAAAAGAACAGGGCTGGAGTAGAAAAGTGCTCACTTCAAATCCCCCAAAATTCTCTGAATCAAAAGTGAACAAACTGAGCAAAGCAACCAGAGTGTGGACTCCGCTGCTTGAGGCGGCCCATCTCACGACGGCCAAACAGTGGGGACAACCCACGTGTCCACTGGCAGGTGATGGACACGCACAGGTGCCCCCTCGCTGAGGGGCAGGGCTGTGCGTCAGTACTGGTGGAACTCGTGGAGAACGTCACCAGCGTCAGGGGTGCTCCTGCAGACGCGGCTGGGCTGGCGACCGCCCGGCCAAGTGCATTCTCCTCACAATGCAACGAGGACGGACGCCACACCTCCTGCAGGCACTCTTTGAAGCGGCTCATCGCCTCTCTTCGGGAGGCTCTGGGATCGGAAGGCACCACCAAAATGGCTGCTTGTGCACAAGACGGGGAAGGTCGCCAGCATCAGTGGAAACGTATGCTTAGAAGCGGCTCCAACGGCAGACGTGCTGTGGTGCACGCCCTGTCACAGGAAAAGTCCGCACGGCGTCTCTGGACTTGAGTGGCTTCCTCTCCACGAGGCACCCTCCTGGCATCGGACCTGCCTGCGACGCCGTTGTCAACTGCTGTTCAGGCTCAGGAGCAGCCGTCGCCCAGCACCCAGATCCCGGCCGGCAGGGACAACCCCACGGTGAGTTTGTTGAGGGAACCAACGAGTGAGTGAAGAGGCAGCAGAGGCGTATCTGAAGCCTTGCTCGGAACCCAGCTCGTCACGAGACCTGCACCACATTACTTCCCTTGCCATATCTCAGTCTCCTCATCTACAAAATGTTGTTGTTGTTGTTATGTGCCGTCGAGTTGGACCCGACTCATAGTGACCCCTCCTTGGGTTTCCGAGGCAGTATCACTACGGAAGTAGATTGCCCCATCTTCCCTCCGAGGAGTGGCTGGTGGTTTTGAACCGCCAACCTTCTGCTTAGCAGTCAAGTGCTTTAGGCACTGCATCACTAGAGATAAACCACACCCACTGCCTGGAGTCCATTCTGACCCACAGCGCCCTTCACAGATTGATTGTGAAGATTTTCCTGCTCCGTCCTCCACAGGGCAATCAGCGGCTGACTGGACCGCGTCCTCCGCGGGGCGGTCGGCGGTGGATTTTCGGACACAGACTGCCAGGCCTTTGCTCCTCGTCTTGGTCTGGAGGCCCTGCTGGAACCATCTGGTGTCACGGCCACACACCAGCGTCCGCTGACGGGTGGTGGCTGCCCATGAGGTGCTTGGCTGGGACTCGAACCCAGGTCTCTCACACGGCAGACGGGGATCCTGCCCCGGACCAGCACTGCCCCTCAGATTGGTCATCAGGGGCTGTCGAGGGGACTCCGACTCACGGTGACCTCACGTGGTGCAGGGCAGGCCGGTGCCCCCTCAGGGCTTTCCTCAGCTTTTAGAGGCACGTCACCAGGTTTGTCTTCCCAGGAGCCTCTGGGGGGTTTGAACTGCCAGCCTTTCGGCTAGAGGGCGGGCGCTTGACGGTCTGCACCACCAGAGACTCCACTTCAAACGGAGACACGGGCTGACCTAAAGCATCTAACGCTATGGTGCCAGGGAGACAGCAGACACTCATGGTGGCCCTTACCCTCGCTGACTGCTCAGCACTGACCAAATCCCCTCACTGACCCCTCGCTGACCACTCAGCGTCGACCAACTGCCCTCACTGGCCCCTCAGAGTCGGACTGACTCCCCTCACCGGCCCCTCAGAGTCGGCCCCTCGGTGACCTCTCCGCGCTGACGGGGAGCCACTTGCAGCGTCCCTCCTAAGCGCTGAGTTTCCCGCCTGGTGCAGTGCACAGCCCTGTGGTCCCAACGACGCCCTGCACTTAGGACGGCAGGCCTGACCCATCTGTCCCCATCAACCTCCCCATCGCTAACAGGAAAGCACAACCCCGACTTTCTGGTTGGCAGCTGAGCGCTTTAACCATAGTGCCACCAGGGTTCCTCAAGGAACATCACGCAGGACAACACGAGGGACAGGGTGCTCTGAGCCACAGGCCCTGCAGGGGTAACCGCTCCTGGTACGTCCTCTGTCTCTGGTGCAGGGAAGGACGGCTGTCCCCCACCCCCTCACCCACAGCCTCCACAAGCACCGGGGGTCTGCATCCCCATCCGTCTCGGGGGTTCCTCCAGAGGAGCAAAACCAGCACAGCGTGTGTGTAAGTGTACGTCCAGGGCTGCGCCAAGGACCTGGCTCACAGTGCAGGGCTGGCACGTCCCACATCCAGGGGCAGGTGGCAGGCTGCAGGCTGCTCCTGACTCTGGCGGTCACGGACAACAGCCCACAAACTGGGGGTCAGACAGCTGCTGGCTCACGTCCCACGAACTGGGGGTCGGGGACTCAGACGCAGGCTGGGCAGAGGGTGAGCGCCACACACACACCGTGGAGGCCCGGGACCTCCACAGACGCTGCGGGCAGGCCACGCCCCCACGGAGCCGGACTGGCCCCCGCGTCAGTGCGTTAGGCGCGAGCACCCACTCCAGTGTCTGCTCACCGAGTCACAGCCTCGCCGGCCGGCACACAACCTCACTGCCACGCTGCCCAGTGAGGGGGCAGGGTCCGGAGAGCTCACGCGGCGTGACGGGATCACCAGGCGGATCAGGAACAGCCCTGCGTCTCCTGCCCCAAACCCAGGCCACCTGCACTGACAGCCGCCTTGAGGGTTACGTGTCTGTGACCCTGCTTGGGGCGGCGGTGGCTTCGTGTACAATGCTCATCTTCCGCGCAGAGACCCTGCTTCGAGTCCCGGCCAGCACACCTTGTGCACCGCTTCCCGCGGTCCGTCCGCGGAGGCCTGAGCGTGCCTGGGTTTCCTCAGGGCTCCCAGCTGAGACCAGGGAGAAGGGCTGGGCATCTCTGCCCCACCTCAGCCCCTGAAAAGCCAACGGTCATGACTGTCCGATCCTCAGGCCATCGTGGGATGGCGTGGCACCAGGCGGTGCCCTTGTGTGTGGGGTCGCGGGACTTGGGGAGCAACTGGGTGGCCACCACAGCCACCACCACCATCAGTTCTACAGCCAAGGGATGAGTTCTGTCTCCTTAGCTGCACGTTCACCACAACCGTTAGAAACCACCCCTTCTTCACTGAGGACGGAAGGGGGATGACGCAGAAAGGCCCTTCTCCACCGGCTCCGCGCCCGGTACCCTCCACCTCAGCCGATGAGGCGAGAGGCCGGCTCCTCCAGCCCCATCTGCAGATGCCCTGAAGGGGCAGCCGGGAGACCCCGGCCCACTTACTGGAAGACGTCCGCTTCACTCCAGCCGCCGAGTCGGCCCTCTTCTGCTGGCCGCTCAGGGCCTTCCCCTTCCCTGGGATCCCGTTCGATGCCACTGGGGGTTTTTTACCCTTGAGCTGCGGAAACAAACAGATGAGAAAATTAGAAACCAACCAAACCTGGGACAGCTCTTCAGTGTAAATTGTTTGGCGTCTGACTCTTTCAGGTAAAATCTCTCGTAGAAACAAGGGTCGAAGAAAAACGACTTGGCTTCCAACGTTACACCAGTGTGATTTTCTTGGCATCGCCAAGAAGGTTCTAGAAACAAGGTCAGGAGCACACGGCGGTGTCCAGAACGCCTTTAGCTGGAATGTTACAGAAATCACGGACCTCTCTTGTGAGAGCAGGAAGACTAATCAGGGACCTGGCCCTGGTGCTGGCGACCCAAGGCTGCTCGGAACAATCACCACCCGCCTGTGTCGCTGAGGGTCACTGGCTTCCATTCCTGGGGTAAGCGCTGCATGGGGTGGGGGACTGGACGGGCAGCTCTCTGCCCCGAGGGGACCCTGCTCTGTGGCTCGTGGACAGGGGGCTGGAGAAGCTGGTTCAGAGACTGGGAAGGAAATGCCGTGGAACCTCAGGTGCTCGCAACACCAAGCACAGCCCTGGTCTCTGGCTGCTGGAAACCAGTGGCGGCGGCACTCGGTGGAGCCACGGGGCATGAACTTCACCGTGGGATGAATTCAGCCTGACGGCCGAGCCTCAGCGGTTCTGTTTCCTGTTAAGCTGTATCCTCCTGCTGTCGGCCGGGGTGGGAGTGGGAAGGCAGAGCTAGCTTCAGATTCTGGCTCCACAGTCAGAAGGACCCAAAACTACTGCCCTGAGGAAAGTGTCAAGCCTTAAACCAAAACTATCCCATGAAGTCATCTTTAAACCCAAGCCAAACCACACCCACTGCCGTGGAGTCCATTCCGACCCACAGCGCCCCTAGAGGACAGAGTGGAACTGCCCACAGGGCCTCCAAGGCTGTGATCTTTACAGAAGCCGACTGACTGCCTCTTCTTTCTGCTGCAGAGCAGCGGCTGGTGGGTTTGAACGGCCGACCTTCTGGTTAGCAGTGAATGCTGTGCCCAGGGCTCCTGCTCTGAAGGCCTGAGACGGTGCCCTGCGCACCGCGTGCTCCACCCAAGTTACTGCTGCAATGAAAGGTGGGTAACCGCACACACAGCTGCCCTTGGCAGGGAGCACGCACCCTGTGGTCTCAACAGTGCTCATGGGGGTGCTCAGAGAAGACAGAAGGGGTAGATTCACCCCAGGCTCACCCCTGACGCCGCCATGGCTGGGCCCTGGCTCACGGAAGCCAGTCCTCCAGGGACAGGAGCTACACAGCTGTCCTTACAAATAAAAACATCCCCAAAGAAAACTGCAGACAAAACCCATGGGATTGTTGATGAAAACCACAGGCTGGGAAGTGCCACTTCCAGCCACTCTCCCTGGAAGTCAGGGGTTGTACTGGCGTTTGTTCTTCTCCTGATGAACAGGACAGCTTGTTGGCTGTCAACCCAAAATGGACGGAAACATGGCCAGTGGGTGCATTCATTGTGTGCGAGGACAATGTTCTTACCTGGGGTGCTCAGATGTTTCAGCGAAGCCTGGAAACAGCTCTGAGCATGAAAACATGGAACACAAATCGAGGGTGACGTGGAAATGTCGCTGTGGGGTGGAGTGACACCGGTGGTGTGGGGTGACAATGGGCGGCATGGGGTGTGGGATGACGGGTGGTGTGGGGAGTGGACAACAGGTGTTTATCATTCAGGGAGAATCCGAAATGCTGTATCATCTGGAGCCCTGGTGGCACAGTGGCTAAAGCACTCAGATGCCAACCAAAAAGGTCAACAGTTTGAACCTGCCAGCTGCTCCACAAGAGAAAGGTGAGGCAGTCGGCTTCCATAAAGATCGACAGCCTTGGAGACCCTGTGGGCAGTTCCACTCTGTCCTCTAGGGGCGCTGTGGGTCAGAATGGACTCCAGGCAGTGGGTGTGGTTTGGGCTTTGCTTCCGTGAAGACTGACAGCCTTGGAGACCCTGTGGGCAGTTCCACTCTGTCCTCTAGGGGCGCTGTCGGTCAGAATGGACTCCATGCAGTGGGGCATTTGGCTATTCACTAACTCCTGAGTTCTGGGGAGCAGGGCCACTTTCACACTCACTATGGAGTTCATTGGTGGCTCAATCAACCATCCTGTTTAAAGAACCAAATTCCTATTTAAAGAACCAAAAGCAACTCTTTGGGGTGGCTGTTCCTCATTTACATACAATGACCTGCATAGAATGACATCTGCATACAGTCAAGAGCCTTCAGTTGAGGAAGAAAAGTCTGAGAAGCTGTGCTGTCCCTGCCTCTTTAAAACCTCTGGCTTCCCTGGGGTGCTCCAGGAGATGCCCCGGAATTTCCCCAGGTTCCTGCTTTCCTTGGGAGCTCCAAGAGACGCCAGGGAGCTCTCCCCAGGGTTTGGACACCCCTCGCTCCATGCTAACCCAGTGGGGACAGCGTCCATAAATGGCATCCTAGTACAGAAAAACAAGCACTTCTCCCCGGACAAGTCCGTTAGGACGCTGGTGACTCTGTTATCAGTGCCAAGCTCTCCAACGTGATAGAACCTGTTACGACATGACAGAGCATTCCAGAACAAAATGCGGTACCTGGGAGCTGGGCCCGAGAGGCGCCCTCCCCAGAGAAGAGGTGTTAGTGAGAGACTGGGGGTTGGACAGACTGGGCGAGGCAGGACATTTGTAATGGTTAGAAGACAGTTTGTCAGCAGACGCCCGAGAGGCCCTCCTCTCAACGGGCGGGCAGCGTGCAAAGATTTTCGGAGACGGCAAGTTATCGTACAGGCCCAAGTTATCGTAAAGCGTCTCTTCTCCCGAGCTTCTGCTACGGGCAGCAGGAAGGCTGTCCTCAGGGTCCCACTGCAATACATAGAGCTGGGATGTTAGTTACACAGAGAGCACAGACCTCAAACATCGCCAAACCCCCACCCCCTGCTGCCGCCCGGTCGGCTCAGAGTCCTGCTGACCCCGCGTGCGACAGCCGACAGCTGCCCCTAAGGGCTCTCTTGACCGTCATCTGTAAGGAGCCTTGGTGGGGCAACGATCAAGTGCCTGGCTGGTGACAGGTTGGCAGTTCAAACCCACGCAGGGGCTCCATGGGGGACAGAGGTAGTGAGGACAGCCCAGGAAGCCGGTGGGGGGCTTCTGCTGTAGGAGGGCGGAATGGATTCAATGGCACACGGCATCGGCCGTGCCACCAACACCACCTGCCGTTACAGAAGCCGGTGGCCGGGCCTCTCTCCCGCGGCACTGCTGGCTGAGTTCGAACTACCAACCTCAGGTCGGCAGTTGACTGCAAACCGTGAGCCCCACCTGGGATGCTTACCATCCTCCCCTAAGTGTCACCAATGAAATACATGCAGAAAGGGCTGGAGTGGCTGACAAACCTCTCAGACACATTTCAAGTGTCACCGCTCATGGCATTTTTGTTTTGCTTTGTTTTTTAAAGCAGGGAAAAATATCGGTTTGACTTTTCCCCGTTGGAGAACCAGGAAGGACAGTGCTTTAGCAATCACCACGTGACAGAACATTCTAGAACGACATGCTGTACCTGGGAGCTAGCCTGAGACGCCCTCCCCGTGGATGAAGTGTCAGTGACCGACGGAGGGGAGGACAGGGTGGCTGTGGGAGCAATGCAGCGGCAGCCAGAAAGGAGAGCCCGAGACTGCAGGGCCCGTGAGCAGAGGGCAGAGCCCTGCGCCTCGGCAGGCGGCCCTCAGGCAGTGCCAGCGGTCACCTCAGCGCTTGGCGCTATCGATGCATTAGTCCTCACAGCAACTGTGGGAGTGGGAGTGGGTGAAGGTGCGG